AGCAGGTAGAGCATGAGACTTGGGGGCGTGGGCTCAAGCCCCACATTGGTCAAATTGGGGGGGGGGGGAGACAGCAAAGATTACATGTCATTTGCCGACCGAAATATCTATCACATTTGCTGGGTTGATTTCTGTTCTGCACATAGTCTGAACACTAGCAATTGTTTCCATTTCCCCTGGAATACTCCGACATCCCCAGAGGTGTAGCTAGGCTCCCTTGCACACACCCACCCCAATCTCCAGGGGGAAAATAACGTAATTGAATAATCACAAATGATTCAAACTGGCTATTTAACAGCACAAGCCTATAGATATTTACTCCAAAGTAAATCCCACCATGTTCAGTAGGGCTTACTGGGTGCACAAGACTAAATCTGGCAAGACAACGACAAGAGCTTCTGACAATACCTCACTTGCCTTTTCGTTATTTCCAACAAGGTGCCAGCAGAAAGGCACTACCTCGGAGGTTCTGCCTCAGTGCACACTTTACTCAGAAGTAAGCCCCCTTAAGTCAATGGCCCTTGCTCTCTCTGGGGTAAATATGCAGCGGCACATGCACTGGAAATTGGTCAAGGTGAGGGGAAATCAGGGGAAGCGACCACAAAGAGCCTCGCCTGGTGTTTCTCAGTCAGTACATCAGCTGACAGCCATTTGGGGGGCAAGCAGAGGGAGTGGAGGGTGGGGAGTAGTGGTTGCACTAGGACAGAGAGCCAAGCAGTGGTGTCCTTGTAAAGAGCCCCACCGCGCAAACTAACATGCAGAACTGCCAGCCGACTGAGGAGGGGGCTCTGCAGTCTGGTGCGATGGCCCACGCCAGTGTCAGGATTACCCCACCAAGGTGACAAGAAAGGCACAATTTCTGTGCCATTCCCCAGGCCTGCGCCTTTGGTGGGGTGCAAGCTGGCCAACTGCTAGGTCAGCCCCTAGACATCTCTACACTGGCTGAACCACTAAGGTGTGTGTGTGGGGAGAAGGTGCAAGGGCTTCGGAAGGAGTAGAAGCAATAGAAACCTAGGAGAAAAGGAGGCTGGTCCTGGGAAAGGAGCGGGAGCGAACTGTCCAGAGAAACTATGGCAAACGTTTATCCCTCTTGCATAAGATTAGAAGCTGACTGGCGAAAGAGTCAGGGTACCACCTCACCCAGTGCACTGTCAACTTGAAGGAATTTGCAGGTGTAAGTAATGGTGATGGCTAAAAGCTTAGGTAGCTTCAAAAGCAGGATTAGACCCATTCATGGAAGAGGAGGGGAGAAAGAACAAGACTGTCATTGGTTACTAGTCGGAATGACTGTAATCATCCAGGGTCCTGTGAAGAACAGTTGCTAGGGAACAACAAATGCACTCATGCACTGGCTTGTGGGATTCCCAGAGGCATCTGGTCGGCCACTGTAGGAAACAGGATGCTGGACTTTGGTCTGATCTGGCAGGGATTTTCATATGGAAAGGGAGGCCATAGGAAGACTTCAAAATAAGAGAACACAGAAAGAAAATGGATAAAGAGATGTGCTTGGCTAGGGAGCACAGGCTAGGCAACATCTCTCAGACTGATTTGAAACAACTACTAGCCAATGCTTTGGCTTCAGGCCTCTAAAAATGTTCCTTTAGTGCGAACAGGAGCAGAAGGTAACCTTTGCATTTCATTTTTGTTGCTGTTGTTCTCTCTACAGATGGCTTCCCGCCCCACTTCTTTAAAACTGGCCCTAGTGAAATACTGGAAGGCTGCTTTGCTAACTTACATCCAAAATCCCCTCCTGCCCCGACTCCTCCTGAGCTGCCCTAAAGATCCTGGCGGGACTAAAAGGCTTTTACGCTCCCAAGCTAGTAAGCATGCTCAGTGGCATTTCCGAAGCGCCTCTTGGGCCTGGCGGGAGAGCTCTATTAGCACTGAGGCCCGGAACCCCCACAGTGCTTTTAAAATGAAATAACAATAATTGCAGCACTCGGCAGTTCCAGGGCAGCCTGCCGTGTCTCCAAAGTGCTTGCAGAGCATTAGCAGGTTCTAGCCACACTGGGCTTAAATGTACGCCCTCCGCCACAGCAACTACAGCCTCAAACACAATACTTTTAAGCAGGTGGGGGGAAACTTAATAATTCTCCCATCTCAGGACAGCTGGGATACCCCTGGTACTTTATCTCAAGCTGGAAAAACACACCTCCTCTGCGAAACATGTGAGGTGACATTGCCATGCAGAAAACTTCCCCAGCTTCCTGCTGCTTTGCAGGGGATGCAAAAACCTGCCGTGTGGCATTTGCTTTCCAAGTCATTTACTTATACCATTCTCTCTCTCTTTCTCTCTGTGATTTAAAAAATATGACTTTGGTCATAACTCCTTCAAAACAAACATAAAAATAATTTCCAACAAGATAAAATTAAGAATGGAGGAATAAAACCTCAAAAAAAGAGTTCCCCACTTTAAAAAAAGTTGTCTATACAATAAAAACCATCAAATGCTGAGAGGCACAGAAATGCCTTGCTGGCTGCTGGGCAATGAAGGGGCTCACTTAGCACACCTGGGGAGGGAGATTCACCATCAGGGTCCTACTATAAAACAGGCCCTTTGCCATCTTCCCACCGTTTGTCTCGTTCTAGTCTTGCTGAGGGGGCTGTTATTATAAAATGAGCAACCAGTCCATCTTTCAGGATCCATAATAAGAAAACAGTTGCTGCAATCCCCCCCCCCCCGCAGAAATCACCAGACAGGCCATAAGGGACAGATACATGAATCTGTCACAAATGCCCTCTGAAGCAGCTGTGTTTTAACCTGTCAACTGAAGGCTATTAGTGAGAAAGTTAGGCACGTCTTCATAGGAAAGGCGGATCACAATTTGGGAAGCATCCCATGAAGGAGCAGAGAAAACAGAAGGAGCACTAAGGGACGGCACCAGCAGAGAGATGAAGGCACCTGCCTAATATTGACAATTGCCAAGGGGATCAAAGGAGGATTGAAGAGGGCAAGGCAATCAAGGAGCAAACGATGGCAATTATAACTGCCTTTTCTCTCCCTCCAACTTGCTTCTCAACTGTCTTGCTCCCTTCAATTCTTCTTTGATCCCCATGTCAATTGCCAATATTAGGCAGGCACCTTTGTTATATTGCGTTTTGATACCTGCTAAAAAATTTCTTTAGGCAAGCTTACCCAGACATGCAATTTCAGCATGCCTATTTTTAAACTTTTAAAAACTTGATTTTATCAGTATTTTGGTAATCCTATTCCATCTACTTGTTTCTTAAGTCTGTTGATTTTATCAGTATTTTCTGATAAATATTTTATATAATTCTGTGTGAACCACTCAGAGGTATGTGGATCTTTTTTCTTCAATTAAGCAGTATCTGGATCTAGTAAAATAAACAAATAGGTCCAGGGGAGGCAGACAAGCTTCTGCCTTTGCTTTCTCCTCTGGTACCTTTACTAGCAGCAGCTCCCGACATAGAAAGTAAACAGGATGCTCTTTTCCTTTCCAATTATCTCCATGCCATTAAAAGCTTCACCTGCTTACTTTCTGTCTATCACGTAGCAACGCCAGCAAGAAAAGATGGAGAAGGAGAAGCTCGTGGGATTTCTAAAAAGGGGTGGGGGCAGGGGGTGGGGAGCAGCAGCAGCAACAACAACGTAATTCAACAACAACAACAACAACAACAACAACAACAACAACAACAACAACAACGTAATTCAAACCAGCACCATCTGAAAAGCAACTTGTCCCAAGACATACATGTCAACATGGCCCAAGGCAGGTAAAAATAATGGAGTCATCACCACCTCACTGGCCCTTCACCAGGAATCACTGGCCCTTCACTTAATGGAAGGGAAAAATTAAAGTGCTCTGAACAGCAACAAAGCATACTTCTCTTTCCTTTTCTCATACACCACAAAGAGTAATGTGAACATTCGAGAATTATTTTTTTTTTTAAAGTTCATAAGCAAACTTTCTTCATTAGCAAATTAGGATAATTTGAGCTGGGAATTTTTCAGTTTGCATCATAGTTCTCCCTGATGCCCTAGAGCTGAGATAGCCAATGGGGTGCCTTCCAGATGCTTCGGACCACAACTCCCAGCATCCCAAGCCAACATGGGAAGTGGTCAGGGATGGGGAAAGCTGTGGTCCAGCATCAACCAGACAGCACCATATTGGTTATCCCTGCCCTAGGGAGTGTTTAGCATGCTTATTTTACTTCTATTTAGTAAACAGAACTAAAAACTTTAAAGCTGCCAAGCTTGCCTAAATATTGGATTTGCAGTTGGCACCCATTCTCATGTTTACTTATGAGATGATAAATTTTCCATAGAAAAATGAAGCACTGTGAAAAATTCCACCACATTTCACTGCACACACATGTGAACCCTTGTTTCTGGAAGTATTTTCACTCAGTTCAAGAACATCAACTCAACTACCTTTGTCTGTCCACACCCACATTTAAAGCACATTTATGACACTTTATAAGTCACGGCATCCCCCAAAGAATCCTGGAAGTGCAATTTACCCTACACAGAGCTACAATTTGCAACACCCTTAACAAACAAATTCTTTGGGGGGAAACCACAAACTCTAAATGTATGGTGTGGATATGAACTTCAACAATAACTCATCGCTAAGTGCTAAATATGTATTCCTCCGTTATAGCCTAGAAACATCCTTACAGTGGCCGCTCCACACATGGTATATATATTTATGTATTCTAAAAGATGTGAGGTTAAGATTTTTTGAGAATACACCTAAACATGTAAAAGGGTTAATATGACAAAATAATGTCATTTCATAAAAGAAAAGGAAACTGTTGTGCAGGCAGACTCAACAGAGAACCAGGATTGTGAACAGATATGCTGCTGACTGCACTCTCAGTGGCAAACCTGGGTTTTGTTACTATGGACAGTGTGAAACGGCTCTATATCCAGGTAAATTCTGCAGGAGGTAAATAAATCCAAACCAGACACTGCAGACTCATCTTGGAAGATGTGCAAAAGTTCACCAAAATGTTATCTGAGAGGTCACTGCATTTACCATTTTCAGTTTGTGCTGCTGCAGGATCTCATCCAGGTTCTGTCTCTTCTTGTAGTTGAAGTAGAAATTTTTACACTGGGAGACACTCTTGGATCCCACCATCCTGGAAATGGCTGACCAGTTACGTCCATGTTCAAGGAGACCTGCAGATCAGTGAGACATACATACGGTCAGAAGGGTTGAAACTAGAATTAAAGCCAAGAGGAAGGAAGGAAGGAAGGAAGGAAGGAAGGAAGGAAGGAAGGAAGGAAGGAAGGAAGGGGAGCATTTAGAACAAGGGCTGCAGTTTAGTGCTAGAGCATCTGGTTTGCATGTGGAAGTCCCCAGGTTCAATCCCTGGCATCTTCAAGTAGGTCTGGGATGAAACCCCTGTATGAAACATTGGAAAGCCACTACCAGCCAGTGGAGATCAAGGTGGACCCTTAATCTGACTTAGTATAAGACAGCTTCCTATGTTCCTGTGAGGGATTGTTGTTGAAGGAAGAGGAGATAATCTCCTGTGATCAGCAAGTCACAGTGGATAATAATAATAATAATAATAATAATAATAATAATAATAATAATAATATTTATTATTTATACCCCGCCCATCAGGCTGGGTTTTCTCAGCCACTCTGGGCAGTTCCCAAAAGAATATTAAAAACACAATAAAACATCCACCCTGGACACAGAATTGACCTGTGCCTCCATGGACAGCTGTACGTCCAAAATGACTCCCAGGCTGCGCTCCTGGTACTTCAGGGGCACAGATATGCCATTCAGGACCAAGGAGCCCTCCGCACCTGACCGCCCCCTGTTCCCCCAAAACAGCACTTCTGTCTTGTCAGGATTCAACCTCAATCTGTTAGCCACCATCCATCCTCCAATTGCCTCCAGTCACTCAAACAGAACCTTCACCGCCTTCACTGGTTCTGATTTAAAATAGAGGTAAAGCTGGGTATCATCCACATACTGATGAACACCCAGCTCAAACCCCCTGATGATCTCTCTCATTGGCTTCATATAGATGTTAAAAAGTATGGGGGAGAGGACGGAACCCTGAGGCACCCCACAAGTGAGAGCCCAGGGATCTGAACACTCATCCCCCAACACCATCCAGGAGGAAGGATCGGAACCACTGTATAGCAATGCCTCCAGCTCCCAGCAAAACTTGCTATTGTCTCTACTGCCCCTTGCAATAGCATGGGAAAGAAGACCATCAAAAGAGATATTTTGAGTCAGTGCTCTCTGTGCACCGCTCTTCCATCACAACATGTCTACTTTGAATCTCAGTATTCATTTAAAAAGAAGAAGCGCCAATAGGCATGTTTCTAGCACTCATGGCTGCAAAGATAGGTTTCAAAACATGTGGGCAATACCTACAGCAAAAAAGTGCTTGAAGAAGAGTATCTCATGCTTTGAATCCAGCTCCACACCCAGGTGAGCGATGTGCTGCTTGGGTGTCAGCGATCAGGGAGGAGAGGAGCTCAAACACTCCAGAAGACCTTGCACTCAAACCTCAAGGCACAAAAAAACTGTTCAAGGAAGGCAAGCCTCTGAAGAGAGCAAGTCAGACCCAACTGCCATGAACTGCAGACAGGGCCAATCTTTGGGGAACACTATATTCCCTCCCATAGAGGTTTTATTTGCCTTTATACAGACGTTGTTAATAAATTTGCATTTTTTTTTATAAATAATAAATAAACACAATTGCAGGAACTTCCCCTCAAAATTATTTCCATATATTACATTGTAATGCAGCTTTTCCCCCAGCCTGCTGCCCTCCAGATTCTTTGAACTCCAACTCCTACCATCCTCAACCCTTGGCTAAATAGCTGGGACTAATGGGACAGTATGACATGCCCAGTCATTCCCAGGTGTAGCCCACCCTTTCCTGAGGCTCCTGGTTTCCTCACCGTTCAGGTCTGAGAAGAAGTTTTGGGTTGGCTGAGAAGACACAGAGCCTGTGAACCTCGCCTCCTTCATCCCCCTGAGGGGCCAGAGCCAACAGGAGCTGCATGAGGAGGTGGATATGGGAAGGAACGGGTCCACACATGCTTTACACACTCCACATGAAAAGGCAACCCAAGAGAAAACACTATTTTAAAATTGCCAGCTTGCTGAAAATCCTGCCTTAAAACAAATGCTCCAAAACCAAAGGTTCCCAAATTTTGTTAGCCCTTTATTGGTTTGTGTATTTCAATGTCCCTTCAAGACTCACATTACCCCCCCCCCCCCGGATGGTTCACCTTAGGAGAGAGTGATAAAAAGAACAACACAAAAGATGGAAAACAAGTCAACCAATCCCAAAACGTGCTAATATGAAACTGCTGAGTTGGGTTATCCAGTGTTTTGGAGCATGTTGCCAGCAATATGCTGATGACACAGAGCTCTACTTCTCCTTTACATCTGCAGGTGGGGCAGTGGAAGTGCTGGACTTGCCTCAGTAATGGACCAGATAAGAGCCAATAAACTGAACCTCGATCCAGATAAGATGGAGGCAGTTTAGACAGAGGTGCCAGGAGATGAACCTGGGAATTCCTGCAGGCAAGGCATGTGCTCAGCCACTGAAATAAATTCAATAAAACAACTAAAAATTCACGATGGCTGACAGATGACAGGTCATGTTGACCACAAAGCTCTATTGAAAAACAGCAGCAGCAACAATAGCAACAACAACCAGCATGTTATATAGGTAACTTACAACTAACACAGCCCCTCCCAGGGGCCATATCAGGAAAAAATAACAATATTGGAGTCCTTTTCCAGCAATATTTATATGCCAACCTCCCTCTGAAGATCACAGGGCAGTTTACAATCGCAAAGAGACCACAAAACCATTGCAGACACCAGAGTTATCCTTTCCAGCAAGCTCTCAACTGTCAGGAAATGCACTGGGACATCCTTCCACAAAGGAACCCCAATCGGATTGGAGAAAAGCCCCTGGAACACCAACGTACTTTGGCAGACACTCATCAGCTGCACAGCTGAGTCAAGGGCTTGGCATTTGGGCAGAATTTTCTTTCTGTATATAAAGGTAATGTTTAAGCCGCCAAAAAGGTAGAACCCACTCAGAGATTTATTAGATACTGCTGGGGGAGGGAGACGGCGGCGGACAAAACACCAGCACAGCTCTAAGTGACTTACATTGCAAATTAAATGTTGAAAATTAAAAATGTGTCTGCAACAAAGAAATGCAGCATGATAAAAATCATTTACACTAACCAAGCAAGAGAAGCAGAAAAACTGGTATATAAAAAGTCGAACAGGAAGCCCAAGATAAAATATAAAATGTAGCTGAAAATAAAATACTTGCCCAGCAGAGAATGCCTTCTAAATGGAAAGAAATAAACCCTTCTAACTTTACCTGTCCACCAAATGGGGGTGGGGGGGCGACAGTAAAGGTAGAAGCTCTCCAAGAAGGGGAGCGCCACAAAGGAGATGCTGACTGAAAGACTACTGAATTACACTTTGGGGGGAAATATCTGTCTGAGATTTTAGAAACCCATTGCCAGTTGGAATTGGACCAGCTTTCCTCAATACAGCGGCCCTAGATGTTACAGACCAGGGATGTCCAACAGGTCAAGCAGGATCGACTAGTTGATCCCCGGAGTTGATGGCAGGCTCCTTTTCCTTTGGGGTGTCATAAGAGCATCCGCCCCCCCTCGCCCCGTCCTCCATATTCGCATGACTGCTGGAACGTAAGACGGAGTTTCCGCTGTGAGGCAGATTGTTTCCTTAGCGATCTCTTGGTGAGCGACTTTTCCCCTTTACTCAATTTTGACATTTTTCTCTCAAGAACGGGACTTTCTTTGACCTGCCAGTTTTTTATTCTGTGCCAGTAAAATAAAACCCTGCCAGTTTTTTATTCTGTGAGGAGATTGCAGTCTCTTGGGAGTTGGACATCCCTGTTGTAGACCATGACTCCCATCATCCCTGACCATTGGTCATGATAGCTGGGACTGATGGGAGTGGGGGATCTAAAACATCTGGAAGGCACTTGTGTGCTGGAACAGGCAGTAGTGAGCTAGGCAGCTAATGATCTGACGCAGGTAGCTGTGAACTTCCTCCACTATGTTCACCGCTGAAGAAGAATTGCCCATAGTTCAGTATGCACCATAAGGCCCACTGCTGGGCTCTGACCTGCTGCTCTGGATTAAGAGAGGAGCAAACATGTGTATTTCAAGAGGCCCATGTCCAGTCTCAGGCTAAGCTGCCAGAGTGATGAAACTGAGATCTAAAAGTCTCCAGCATGCCTAGCTAGGTCTTGTCTTCCAGGGCACATGAGACTCACATTCTATTAACACAAGACAGATACAGGTAACTCACAGCTTACAGACGGTTCAGCTCTGGGGATCCATGCATACGTGCAAAATTGTAAAAAGCCAGGGACCCCTGAGACCGCCACCCACCCTCACGCAACCATCCCTACCCGTCCGGGCAGGCCTTGCCCTCCGCATCACTTACTGGACTCTGGGAAGGATGCATGAGGGCTCTGGGAGTGTCCCAGGGCCCTCACAAGACCTTCCCCTGGCCTGGTAAGCAGAAAGGGCAGTAAGATCTTCAGGTCACTGAGTGGTGATGAGTGTTTGTTCTTCCAACCTTACAAGGCAAGTCTTTCTTGCCACTATAAGGGCTCACAGGATCTGCTTTTCTGCTCATTTGCTAGTCCCCAGCAGGGTTAGCTGTGTGGCAAACTGTGACCGTAGTCCAGCGGTAGTGCACAGCGGTAGTCTTTACACCCCAGAGGGGTGGTCTGGTAAGAGAACCTATCTTTGAGGTCTTGATGGCAGATGCTGCAAGCATATTGTTGAAGCTTAGCAAGCCTGAATTGGTTTCTGGAGGACAGATTTTCCTGGAGGACATGCTGCCCTGAGCACCTGAGTAGGAAAGATAGGAGAGTAAGGCAATACAGGCAACTCACAGCATACGATGATTTCACCTATGCAATCTCAACTTTACATGGGCTGCAGGAAAATAAATAATTAAATGGAGAATGGGGAGGAAACCGGCCATGGAAAGAGCCTTTTAAGCCTTCTCTCTGTCATGACATAATCAGTCTTGTTTAGATACCTATTTGGATATGTGGACTGCTTATACTATTTTATATGTCACTGTTGGGATTGATTTAATATATACATGCTAGGATATTGCATACAAAAGT